GCGGTCCCCTCGCCCCGGAGTACCCCCTCCCTGCTGTCCCCTCGCCACGGGGTACCCCCGCCCCGCTCCCCCCTCGGAGCCCCATGGGTTAGAACCGGCCTATATACCCTACTGATATGAACTTGACGTCGTGGAGATTGATCGTACCAGAAACGTTGGAATAACCAGCACGCTCAAAAACTACGTCTCGGCATCAGTCGATAAAATGGCGACTCTGAAGAATGCTGGCTGGGATGCGGCGTTCAATGGGAAGGGAGATTTCAATTTTTGCGTACCGCTCAACACGCTATTGGGATTCTGTGAAGATTACAAACGCGTGGTAATTAACGCTCGTCACAAATTAATTTTAATACGATCGCGCAACGACACCAATTGTCTGTTTGGAGCTGTAACACTGGAGCCACAGCTTGAAATATTCAAGATACAGTGGCGAATGCCGCATGTGTTGTTAAACAAGGTGAACAAGCTATCGATGCTGCTTACTTTGGAAAGTGGACGATACCTCAATATGTGTTTTCGTTCATGGGATGTCTATGAGTTTCCGCTATTGCAGCAGACGACTAAACATTCGTGGGCTATTAAAACAGCTACTCAGCTCGAGAAGCCGCGATATGTTATCTTCGTTCTGCAAACAGGTCGGAAGAATATAATGTCTGAGAATGTGTGTAAAGTCAGTCATTGTAAATTGAGCAATGTAAAACTCTATCTGAACTCGGACTGTTATCCATACGATGATATGAATCTGGATTTCGATAAAAACAAATGGTCGAATCTGTATGATGCGTTTTTACGATTCCGGAAAAGCTATTACGGATGATCTTGCGCCAGGTCTCAATGTCTACAATTTTCTAGAATATGGTCCGTTTGTGATCATCGATTGTTCTCGACAAAACGAATCGGTCAAGAGCGCGACCGTGGACGTGAGATTGGAATTTGAGTGTAAGGAGAATGTGCCAACGAGCACCATTGCATACTGTCTCATCATACACGATCGCGTGGTTCAGTATAACCCGTTGACCAATGTCGTGCGCAAAATCACCTAGGTATTACATTTTTTCACTGTCAGAAACATGTAACAAATTGCGCTTTACAAAATGTTTTTAAACTTTACAAATGGTGGTCCAAGCATGAGAAATAAATATGTAACAACTTGTCTTTGTATAAGAATAATGTATTTAAAATATTCAGTTGGTTATGTAACCATAAAATAAATATATTCCTATCAATATTGCATTAATTTCTTTTCCCACACGTATCCTATACTTCTTTCCGTTTGCGCACTCTCTCCCTTCCACAGCATATTTTTAAATTTATTCATATCTCGATCTTATATGTATGGGTAGGAAGCAGAATTTACCTTTTTCGACCCAGACCCTTGACCATGTTTTCTCTTTTGAAATGTGGGATTATAAGCTTAGCTAAAAGGATTTAAAATCTATCCATGCATCAAGACGAACCGTAATATTTCTCCTTCTCTCGACGTGTTCAAACGAGTCTCGACGTGTTCAAACAAGTCTCGACATGTCCATACCAACGTGTACATCTTCGCCTCGATCTTATATGTATGGGTAGGAAGCAGAAGAAAAAAATGTTAGTGGATGAAAATTTGATTTATTATACAATTATTAATTTTTTTCGTTCATCACCGCGTTTTAAGGTTTCAGCAATAAGTTCATCTACAGCATAAACTATTAATTCACAATCTATGACAGAAGTTTTATCATATACCTCGTACAGTATACCAATTGCATCATCTCTCTCGGCACTGGTCATATTACTTTGCAAACAACACACAAATTGATCGAAGCTTTCATTTACAGCTTCTATATCCTCCGATAGTTTGCGATATACATGCTCTACACAATGTTCGAGATTGAGTAAAAATAATACAGTTGACATGCTCATGTACATGCAAGTGTCATCTAACGTGAATTTTACAACTTTTTTATTGTACATTTTAACAAGTTCTAAAACTAAATTGTCAATCTGTACCGATGATGATGCGTCTGTTGACTTGAAGAGCTGCTCTATTTCGTCACGTTTCTTGTTAAATTCCATCCACGTTGAATGATTTAACGCCATCTTATTTCCACGATTGTCGCCGAGAATGAATTCCACATAGGAGGCATCAGGTACCACGCAGATTCCAACATCCAAGTATTTGTACGCGGTAGATGTCAGGGCGAATCTCCTGCTCATGATACGAGGCGTGTAACGAGGTTTATCAGAACTGAAAGAATACATAAAGTAAAATAAATACAAGTAAATCAGGAAAAGTATGAACAAATATACAATAATTTTAGGGTACTTACGCATCATGCTGTTTCTTGCACGAAACAGTTTCATGTCGAGAAACGGATGGCGTATAACTGCTTCGAGGAACATACGGCATGTAACGCCGATTGCTAAAAGTGTTTGAAAAATACAATTAAATGTGGAAAAATGTATACAATATATATGCAATATATTGTATATAACTTTACGGTACTTACGCGGTACACTGTTTCTTGGACGACATATCCAGAGGAACGTAATGATTCATTCTTCTAACACTGTACTGGAAACACAACGGAGAAATCGACTCACTTCGACGGTGACGACTGAAACTCTGAGGGGGTCTTCACTAGTTGAAGTCCCAGGAAAATTTTTAACTTACCCCACCCTTAATCCCGCATCTTCCCCCGCTCACTCATATAGAATAAGATAGAATGCGATAGAAAATATATTGTTAGTTACATTATAA